TAGATACACACCAGTTGATGTGGTATATCTATAAATCAAACAGGAGAACGGTCGACAAAGCGAAAAATAGAACAAGAAAAATTCACACCAGAAAAGAACACACATATATACGTGGTTCGACAAATTGTCTACGTCCACGAAGTTGCAGAGGATTTTACTACTTGAGGAATTTACACCAGTCGATCATCCCTCAACATCACCTCGACTTATAAGAGGAATCTCTCACTATCACTTTGTTGCTCTCTTTTTTTCTCTCTATTCTTCTCTCTCTACACCGAGATACACCACAACTCAAAAGTTAATCACAAACATCAGAAATAAACTCAATTTCTCTTCTGTCACAATCCACCAAAAAAAAACCTAGGGAGAACAATTTTCTTCTTCTTCCTTATGCAGCAAGGAACTACCGCTTGCACTTCTATTCCTTTGCCCCAAGGAAACCTTCCTCTATCCCAAGGAAACCAAAGAAGAACTCAAACCGTGACTTCTAAACCCAATGAGAGTCATCTGATGAGAGTCATCTGAAGCTTTTAAGCTTTTATCACAAACATGGGAGAGCGAAGAATTGCTTCTCTTCACAAAAAGGGAAGTCGGGATCGGTTGGCGCCTACGGTTCGCGAAAACAGCAGAGCTGCGTCCTTTCCCGAACGGTAGAGGGAACAGTTCCACGATCGAGAGGGAGCGAGATCGCGATCTTTCGCGATCGAGCGCGGGAACGGGAAGCGAAAGGCGGGAGGCGGGTAATCGAACTCTAGCGCTAACATATTTATCTATTAGAATAGGGGCAAACATGTAGCTTTAGATTTAGTACCCTATTATCTATAAATATGAGATCATTTTATGAATAAAATAGTTTTGAGAGGACTAAGAAGACTCCAATTACCCATATTAATGTTCATTTTACTATGTGCTATTCTTCTCTCCCTGTCTCTATCTCTATCATTTTTATTTCTTAGTGTGATTGGCAAACAAATCAGGATTTGCCAACATGACATGTAAAAAAATAAGAATTGTGCACTATTTATGTAAATAATCGAACAAAATTTATCTCGTCTTTTAGAATTCCCCCATACAATCTGGCATTTTGCAACCATTTGTGTAGCCGACAGAAACAGTTCTGCAGAGTAAGTGCTCGTTTGGGGCAGATTATAGGGTGCAGCAACGTTTTCAAAACGTCGTCGTCCCGTTTGAATATGACGTTGGGATGAAATTTTTCGTACCGCGGCGTTTTGATATCGCGAATTCCTTAATGGTGCAAGGTCAATTGCTTTGAAATTAGTTAATTGACCTTGCACCATTAGAGAGAGAAATAATTGACTCGTAGTGAGCAGTATATTTTATTTTTTTGAACTGATCTATAACAGTTTGCGGCTTCTGTTTTATCTATTATTTTCACCATAAAATTCTGTTGCAAACAACTTCACCAAACAGAGGCAGAATGATCATTTATCCAGCTACAACTGCCAATAAACTGTTATGAATAAGCTCCCCTAAATAACAAGCCAGCTTATCTTGATAATCTGCAGATTATCAAATTATCAGAATAATCTGTTTATAGGCATATTATAAATAATCTACAGTTGCCCCAAACATACCCTAAAAAGCAGGAAATGAATCAGACCAGACCTCTCTTCATTTTCAATCCCCGTGTCATCTTTCAGTTAAAGTAAAGCACTCCATAGACATGACCATGTGCAGTAGTTATTCATGACATTCAAAATGCGAGAGAAATTTCAATATATACATACATATACATATATATATGTATGTATGTATGTATGCATGTATGTATATTTGGTGAATTTTACTTACATACCACACAAATCTTATGTATTTACATATCCAACACCCAAACTTTCATATTTACCTGCATAACATTTTTGTGTGATAAACATAAGCTTAAAAGATCGTGTTTCACTTTAGAAAGTAGATGGAAGTGCTATTCTCGGGGTGACGTTAAAGATTTAAATGTTATGCATTCAAGTAAGAAAAATTGAGCATTAGATAAGTAAATATATAAGAAAAGTGTGGTGTATACATAACATTTTTCGTCGAAGCATGATGTTAGTTTGCCTCAATAAGTTTGTTAGTTCATTATTTTGATAGCTAGCTCCAAGTCAAAATTGAAATTTGATTTAGATTTGAGTTTCACCACAAACAAATATGTGTGTGTGCTCGAATTTGATTGGTGTTGACAAAATGCTCTAGAAAAGAAGAGTAAGTTCACGGGTTTTGTGGAACTTATTGGATTGTTTGTTCAACCTTGCTAAATACTTGCAAGAAATGATAGAGCTCTAATGAAGTGAAATTATTAAATAATTGCATTTCATTTTACCTATAAAAATATTATAGTTATTATCATTTATAAATAATTAGATACTAACATTTTCTTGTGTGTAAACAACTATTAGATGATGACCACAACTTAAATGAAATTGGGATGAAAAAATAATAATCTTCTCTAAAATTCCTATGTAATACATATTATGCATCTAACATAATATGACTAGCTCCAGTGTACGAACTCTGTCACCAAATGACATTGCTCTAAAACCATAAGGGTAGATTTATTGGTATAAGCATGGAGGTTTTTTTTGGAAGGATGATGTCAATTTGACGAGCACTCTAGTGGAGAGTTCATGGCAAGATTTGAATCTTATTGGTATCATTTCTCTTTTCCATCTTACTTATTAGATTCTCTTATATTTAGCTTAAGAGCTTTGAGGTTTTTCTTTTGATGAGATTAGGTGTTCATGACTATGTGATAAGTGTTTTGTGATGGATATGTTTCTTCTTAAGGGTGGATCAGATTCGATCTACTTTGCCCTGCACATAATCAATTGCTTTAATTGAACCATATAAATCTTAGTCTATTTTGTGGTGCTTGAACTTTTTACTATATTGTTGTGAGTTCATCATATACCATCTTAAGTGGGTACTCCTACATAAATTTCTTTTTTTTAAAAAAAAAAAACTAATATCATGACATAAACTCAAAAAAGATTGTGATGTTTGGTGGCTTGAAGAGTTTTGGGCTTTAGATGACAAAGATGAAAGGTATTAAAATCTAGCAAGGACTTCTAGAGGCGCTCATGAAGCATTCAAATATGGCAAGGGATATGAATGAATATAATTATAAAATATTGATGAATGAGAAGCTTTCTCAATGATTTAAGTATGTTTAATGGACAAGGCTTTCATATAGATATTGAAAGAAATAATCATGAAAGGTTTGTGACTCTTGTTGGTTTGTACATGGCAAAATATCTCAAAAAATTTGTATCAAAATATTCTTTGAAAGTTTTCAAAAGTGATTTAATGACTTGATTTGAGCTTGATTTGACTCAGAGTTGGACCAATTTTGGTATCATTGGATCTGTCTCTTCGAGTCGATCAGTTTGATTGTAAGTTTACTGAATTAGACTTATGGATGGTTTTTTTTATCAAAGTTTGAATGTTTATTGCTCAAAAGACTATTCGAGATTAGTGTCGTGCATCGAGATATGTGTTGGACGATGAAACTTTGTTGATGGTGTATTAGTTTCTCCCTATTTTCTCGCGTTGCCAACTTTATTATCTGAAAATATCAAAATCTAGAATACTTTATATTTTCATCTTGTAATACATATGCATATAATAGTTATATTACCGTTTTTATATAATATGAGAATGTGGGATAATTGTCCTACCACAGTCGTGCCCGATACGTTCACGTGAACAACCTTTTGAGACTCCAGTGAAGGTTGCACCACAGTCTGAAAGAAGTTGTGAAAGACTTTGTGTCTGAATACGATGCAAGAAGACAACCCCATAACAATTATGCTCCGGACGTTGACGTGAATGATGTTTCGAGACTTCGTTGAAGGTTGTCCTCCGCATCAAGGAAAGATTCAGAGGTGATCTTTAAGATAGAATGGAGGTTCAATCACTAGTTAGATAATGTACATCATTAAGAAATGAAGTAGTGGCTAGACATCTCAGAGTAGAAGACAGTGTTGAACGGTGCTTCGTTTCCTATAGAAGTAGCCAAACTGATGCGTGCTAGAAGATTCACGATGTTTGAGTTTTGTATTATCGTCTTAGTGTTGCAGAGAATTCAACACACATACACAGATGAAAGAAAACAACGCGTAGAAATACCAAACAAATTTAAGTGGGAAACCCCGTTAAAGAAAAAAATCAAGGGGGTCTAACCCAGTTGAAAAAATCCACTATAAACTAAAGAATGCACGTACAACCCATTCTCCTACGGGTGGGAAAAAAGAGTTACAAAATCTCATGAGTTACAATGCTGATGCGCGAAAGAACTTGTACAAGAAATGAATAGCGATCAATGATGATCGACGGCGACCGAAGAGTGTTGGTTGACGACGGTCGGCGGTGGTCGATGATGACATGAGTGATGCTGAATTTCAACTCATTCTCATAACTTCAAGCTTTTTCTCATGCCTCAAGCTCTCTCCTCTGACTTCAATAGAGGGGTAAGACTATTTATAGAGTTATGAGTACAATTAATGCAGAAATATGAATCACTTTCATTACAAGGTTCGAATAACTTCCTTTAGTCAGACGACATGTGATGGACATTTGAGTGCCTTGATGATGTCAGAATTAAGTGATATTGAGCCCGTTGGATTTGTCTTATTGAGACATTTGATTCAACTATAAACTTGTTATATTTGACATTCATTTTAACTCTCAAAGATGCTCGAAAAACTATCAAAATTTGTTGATTTGACTCAGATTATATCAGTTTTGTTATTATTGGGTCTCGTAAAACTGTTCAGTTTGACTGTAAGTTTACTGAAATCAAACTTATTGATAATTTTTTATCAAAACTTAGAACTTTTTTTTTTTGCTCAAAAAAGATTATCATGAGATCTTATCATGCATCGAGATTTGTGCAGCATGAAAATTTATTGATGGCATTTCAGTGCTGATTTCCTGTGGGAACACATCAACATAACTCAAATTTGAGCTCGAAATCAGACGAGTCCGAGCCCATTTTGATCGGAACTCAAATCCATTCGAGCTGTTCGTTTTCTGAAGTGAGCTCCCTACCCCGCCACTTCTCGTCGACAATCATGGCCGGTTCTCCTCCAAGAATTCTCCTCTGCGGCGACGTTCTTGGCCGCCTCAACCAGCTCTTCAAGCGAGTCCAATCGGTCACTTCTTCTCCCTTCTAGATTTCTCCTTACGGCATCAAATGTTCAGAACTAACCCTAACCCTAGCTCTGTTGCCTCTAATCTTAAACCCCGCAGGTGAACAAGTCCACCGGTCCCTTCGATGCGCTTCTCTGCGTCGGCCAGTTCTTCCCTGATTCCGCCAATGGCCTGGAGGAGTTTGCTAACTACTTTGATGGTTCTTCTCCCATCCCCATCCCAACCTACTTCATTGGAGACTATGGTGCTGGTTCCACTCGATTCGTCTCCGCTGCGGCCAAGCTCCCCTCTAACAATGGCTTCAAGACGGATGGCCTTGAGGTTTGCCCTAATCTCTATTGGCTCAAGGGCAGTGGCAAGTTTTCACTCCACGGTATTCTTATTGTCCGTCACATATCACTTCCCAAGCTTCCTCTGAGATTAAATACTGATCTCGATGGTTCTAATTCTTGTGCACTGCGTTGGTTGTTTGCAGGGTTATCGGTCTTTTATTTGTCCGGCAGGCAAATTCCCGATGACGAAGGTAATGGCCGGTACAGTCGAGACGATGTTGATGCATTGAGAGCTTTAGCGGAGGAGCCAGGAGTGGTGGATATTTTCATGACATATCCTTCTTTCTTTTCCTTTCTGGTAAAAGTTCTGCTTCTGGATTTTTTTTTTAGGTGGTATTACATTTATGTTATCCGGCTTCCTTGACTCGTGATTACTAATGAATGGCCATCTGGAGTCTGGAATAGAACTGATTTATCTGAAGCAGCCGCAGGAGTGTCAGATCCTTCGGACAGTGATCCTGTTGTCGCCGAACTGGCTGTGGAGATAAAGCCTCGGTATGTGTTTAGTTAGGTTGGTTTTACTTGATCAATAATCTTTGTTTCTTTATGAAAATTGGGATAGTTTATTTGAAAATTTTGTTCGTGATAAGCACTCTGATGTTTCACCAATGAATTTGATTATGGAAAGGTTATGTATGCAAGCTTTGAAAAAATGTTTCTTCTCTTATCATGCTTAGATGATTTTATGGATAAAGCTGGATTTATTACTGATATAACAACAAATTTCAACATCTTCACAAATCTAGATGCATGACATGGATCTCGAGATAACTTTTTGAGCAAGAAATATTCAAACATCGATAAATTTCTTTTCTGAAGTCCGATTTCAGCAAACTTACAGTCAAATTGATCGTCTCAATGAGACAAACTCAATGGTACCAAAATGAGTCCAATCCAAACCAAATCAAGTACCGATCAAGACGTTAAACCATTTTTGTAAGCTTTACAAACATATTTGGAAGGTCAAACGAATGGCGAATCTAACGAGCCTATAGGTGAATCGAGCGTGTCGACAAAATGAATCCAACGAGTTCAAGATCACTCAATTTCGACATCAGTAAGACACTCAAATATCCATCAAATGCTGTCTGATCAAAGGAAACTTTCTAAGGCGTCCGATCAAAGTGGTTCATATTCATGAAATAATTGCTTCCGTAACTCTATAAATAGAGTTCAACCCCTCTCATGAAAGGGGGGAAGAGCTTGAAGCCTGAGGAAGAACTTCAAGCTTTGAGAAATAGCTGAAGTCTAGCATTAATCCTGCTACCGCAGACCACTACTTGCCTGTCATCGCCGATTACCATCAATCGCCGTCCATTTATTGTGACAAGTTACTTTGCGCATTGACGTTGTAACTCGAGAGACATTGTGACTTTCCCACATTTGGTACCAGAGATTGTATTTGTAATCTCCAATTTATAGCGGATGTCTTCAGCTGGGCTAGATACCGTGATTTTTTTTTTGAGTTTTTCACATAAAAACTTGTGGTGTCTCTACTGGTTGTTTTTTTTTTATATGAGTGTGTGTTGAATCCTCGTGCAACGCTAAGACGATAATCCATTACTCTACCGTCGTGAATTTTCTAGCACACATTAACAAATTCAAACTTTTGCACAAATCTCAATATATGACACAGATCTCAAGACAACATTTTGAATAAGAAATATTCAAAAATCGATAAAAAGTTATTCGAAAGTCTGATTTCAACATACTCAACTCAATGAGATGGACCCAATTGTACGAAAAAGGGTTAATCGAAACGGAATCAAGCATTGATCAAGACATTAAATCATTTTTGAAAGTTATTCAAACATATTAGAAGCTCAAACAGATCTAGCAAACCTATAGTTGGATCGAACGTTTCGACAAGATGAATCTAACGACCCTTGGTCGCTCAATTAAGATATCATTAAGACACTCAAATGCCTATCAAATGTTTTCTGATCAAAGAAAGTTCTCTTGGACGTCCAATCGAAGTGGTTCATATTTTTGTATTATTTGCATCAAAAACTCTGTAAATAGAGCCCCACCTCTCTCATGAAAGGAGGGGAGAGTTTGAGGCTTGAGCAAGAGCTTCAAACTTTGAGAATGAGCTGAAGTCTATCATTACTCCTGCCACCGCAGACCACCGCCGACCACCTCCGTTGACCACCTTCGACCACAACTTGTCGGTTGTTGTCGATCATCATTGATTGCCGCTCATTTGTTGTGAGAAGTTCTTCCGCGCATTGACGTTATAACTCGGGAGACTTTGTAACTCTGTGGGACCAATGGTTGTACTTGTAATATTAGTTTATTGTGGATCTCTTCAGCTGGGTTAGGCCCCACAATTTATTTTTCTTTTCAGATTTTTCACGCAAAAACTTTGGGCGTCTCTACTGGTTTTTTTTTTATCTGATCGTGTGTCGAATTCTCGTGCAATGTTAAGATGATAATCCATTACCCCACCACCGCAATGTTCTAGCACGCATCAATTATATTTATGGCTCCTATGATTTTATCAACCATATTGGAAAATATAATGACTCTTTTGTAGGTTTGGGTGAGAAAAAAATGATCTTTGTCATTGAGTTAAGCTTTTACTATTTACTGATTGATTGTAGCAATTTCACTTCCCCATTGAAGTTAACGGTGCCATTTAAAGTCCCATAACTCCATGAGAAAACCAGATCAATTTAGACTACAATTTATAACTTTTTTTTTATCAAGTATGATGTTTTTATTGGATGTTAATTATGCTTTCTTATCACTTATCACTAAAATCCCACCTCTTTTTTGTACTTCCAACCCATGATTATTTCCCCATAGGCCACCTTCCTTTATTGACGAAAGAGTTCATATTTGGTATCCTAAAAATTCTATACATGAATGAGTATGAAGATAGTTTAAGGGTGAGGGAGTGAAAGATGTTTTTTGTTTCGGTTAGTGAGTACCAATTGTAATTGGTGAGTGAATACCCATTTTATCTCATGTAATTTTTCTAGGGCCATTTACATACACAACACACAATTCATATGTATTTACATATCTTACACCTAAATTTATATATTTATACACATAACACTCAAATCATTAAAAGTACATAAAAAATAGTAGTATTATCACTTTTTAGAATTTAAAATACACATTTTCATGCATAGATTTAAAGCACCAAAGTGCTCTGTATGTAAATATAAAATTTTAGGTTTAAATATGTTATTTCACAAGAATTTTGTGTTATGTGTGTATATTTCCCACTTTTTTTAGTAGCAAGAAATGCTTCTTCATATATAATTTCAATTTACTTCATTTTCCTTGGAGCAGGTCAGTTGCCAATTACTGTCCACTGTAAAAATAGTTGCTATTTTAGGGGTTTACATGTATGGCAATAAAGTTAAGCCAAGCTCACTTTAAATTTTTTGGGATTATAGTTATGCTTCCATGAGTGGAATATAAAGTTCTTATCTTTCCTCTTATAGCTAGTAAAGATTTTTCTATCTTTGGGTCATTCCTTTCACTTGGATCCCTTTAATAATTGAATCAAGAGTTTTACTTCAATAATTAAGTGGGATAGCAATGACCTTGTACAAATTTCATCAAAATAGTGATTTTTTGCAATTATATTAGACCACATATTTTTTCTCGTTGGACTTTTCACTTAAAAACTCTCTAATTATTTAATCTGTTGGATTTCTTGAGCAATGGAATTGTGAAGCTCTTGGAGCCTTACAATTTAGAAAAAAATCTCTTTCCGCACACAACAATTACAACAACAACTACTACTCTTAATTCCACTAAGTCGGATTGGCTACATGAATCATTTTTCTTCGTTGTTCTATTGAGCGTCATATTTTCATTTAATCCTAATAAATTAAGATAATTTTTTATACTACATGCGCTAGTCTTATTAACCTTTTTTTGCACAAGTCAAATTTAAAACATCTACTCTCTTAATAGGGTCATCAGATGATCGACGTTCAACGTGACCAAACCATCTAAGATAACTCTAATCTTATCTGCCGTTGGAGTTATTCCAACCTTTTCACGGATATTTTTGTTTCACATTTATCTCTCACATGTAAAACCACTCATCCACCTGAGCATTCTCATCTCCACAACACTTGATTTAATTTTATACTTCTCTTTTACAAGCCAATATTCTAATCCATAAAGCATTGTAGGTCTCAACACCGTTTTATAAAATTTATTTTTTAGTCTAAGCGGATCTTTTCCATCACATAATAAACCCAATGCATTCCTCCACTTCAACCATCCAACTTGAGTTCTACTAATAACGTTACCATATATATCTCAATCACTTTGAACAATAGATCTGAGATATCTAAATCATTCACTCTTTCGAATGACTTGATTATCTATTATTACAATCCCGTCACTGTATCTATTATTACTAAAACTACATTATATATATTTAATTTTAGATCTGCTCAAACGAAAGCTTTTAGACTCTAAACTTGACCGCCATAACTCAAGATTTTTTTGAACTCTCTCTAGTTTTATTCACAAGAAGGATATCATCAACAAAGAGCATACACCAAGGTATGTCCTCTTATAAATGTCCGGTAAGAAATTCTATAACTTAAACAAAATGATATGGGATTAAAGCAAATCACTTAGGTAATCCAACTGAAATCGAAAAATACTTGGTCAATCTTCTTTATGTTCGAACACAAGTAACAACTATAGTATGCATATCTTTAATGTATTGAATATAAATAACACCAATGCATTTCTTTTCTAGAACTCTACAAAGTACTTCTCTTGGGATTTTATTATAAGCTTTTTCTAAATAAAAAAAGGTCCATGAAGCCTCTCAATAAATGTATAGCTTCCATAGTAGACTTTCCTGACATGAATCCAAATTGATTTTGAGAATTTTTTGTATCACTTTGTAACCTATGTTCAAATATTCTTTCTCATAGTTTTAATGTATGACACATTAACTTAATTTCTCTATAATTTGCATACTCTTACGCTTCTCTTTTATTCTTAAAAATAGGAACCAATAAACTCTTTTTCCACTAATCAAGCATCTTTTTAGCACACAAACTTGGATTATTAAACTCACTTATTTTGTATTGTTTATATTATTTGTTTACCTCGAAAGGGATGTTGTAGGCTTTAGCTTGTTTTATTTTATGTGGTTTTGTGGTTTGAAACTTGTATGTCATAGGACACGTTTTATTTTATCTCACTCTTTATGTTGTTAACTTGTATTCCTTGGGGCAACACATATTTTAGCGCAACACATATTTTAGAAGATATAATGTACCCATTCTAAATGTTCTAATTTCGAACTGAGGCTCAAGTCAACTCAAAATCGATTTTGTGGTTGTTATATATTGAAGTTGAGTTTATTCAAAATTTAAATGTAAATGTTGCTAATTGTGATTGAACTATTATATTACCTTTGCAAGCAGTACAAAACACTAACGCATATGTCGACTATTATTTTTATTTTTATGTATCAAATAGGATATAAATGTTAGAACTTCAACTCCGCATGAATCTAATTTTGATTTAGCTGTTGTAAACTCGAAATTGGTTCAGCATGGATTCTAACAAGGCGAACTAATCTGAATTAGGCTCAAACAAGTTCTTGATGGTTTCAATTCAAATGAATTGCTCAAGTTTTAAGAATTTTTTGAATTTTGAATATTCTTATAACCCAATTTTCATTTTTGATATCGTTTTTATTATGAATACTGCAGATCATAATAGATATGCATGTTCTATAGAATTCATAATGTCTGTTGACTGCTTTGTTTGCAACTTTTGAGAAGACATGCATCCTTGTTGTTAGAGGCTGCTGGTTGCTTGAAGTTGAATCTGGGAAGTTAATAGTTTAGTATATTTTTATTTTAGGAAGATTTACACACCTAACATTTAATTCCTATGTATTTACATGTCTTACACCTGAACTTCAATTTTTACATCTACCTATGCATGAAAAGGTGTGTTCCACTTTTTAAAAGTTAAAATGATGTTATTTTTTATATGTTGTGAAAATTTTGGGTGTTATAAAGGTAAAAAAATAAAAGTATAGGTGTTAAATGTGTAAATAAATAAGAATTTGGTGGTATTTATGTAAATGCCCCCTTTTTAGGGAAATAGATTATCAACTTGTAATTCAAGCAAATACTGAAGGTGATGCAAATTTTTGGTGCTGAAATATCATTGAAATAAATAGGAATTTTTGTAGTATGCACGATTTGAGTTGCAATACTAGCTGTAATGTATGGGTGATGTTCTGTGTCACTATCTCCATGAGAGTCCCATGTTTAGAGTTGGTGCTCTAGTAGTCCCGATGGGCTGTGCAGGATCAACTCGTCAACAACTAGTGAGCGGGGATCGTTAGGGATAGGTACCTCTTCTATAGTAGCTCTCGGGATTTATGTTACATGAGTGACAACAACATTTGTTCTCTTTGGAGTCATATAAGCAATTAAAAATTACATAAAATCAAAATCGACTAAAGAATTGGCTAGCCAGTATAAGGATAACCTGTCCCCTACCTAGTTCTAAGAAGACAAAAGTTATTGAATACAAAACATAGACTCTGATACTACTCTGTGACCCATTATGTCCGGAAAACAGTACACTTTGGGAACATAGGACGTGATGAAATGGTATTTACCTTTTTTGTATTCTTAAAAGGAAAGATCATACACAAGCACTTTGGGAACATAGGACATGATGAAATGATATTGACCTTTTTTGTATTCTTAAAAGGAAAGATTATGCACTAGCAATAATTAATATAAATAAGAAAAGATAAATTTATTTTATTTCATAAATAAGAATCCAATAACTGACACAACCGAAGAAAAAACAAAAAACTGATTGAAATAGAATTGAAATGATAATAGATAAATAACTATCCAAAGCTCAAAAAAGGAACCACAATAATAATTAATATAAAACTGAAAAATTTCAAAAAGTAAATCGAAAACCGCAAAGTGCTCCTATGGAGACAAAGGTTGAAATGAAATTTGTTATATAAAATATTAATTGACAAGTTTAAAAAATTAAACTTAGTAAATAACTATAATATATTAAATCATAAATGACAAGGACTAGTGTATGCAATATAAACAACGAAACGAGACTATTTACTATATGCATATATGTAATAATATCAGACAAAAGTGGAAATTGAAATTAGACATCATGTCTGGAAAGCAGTACACTTTGGTAACATAGTGCATGATGAAATGATATTTACCTTTCTGTATTCCTTAAGGGAAAGATCATTCACAAGCAATAATTAATATAAGCAAGAGAAGATAAATTTTAGTTTATTTCATAAATAAGAATCTGATAATTGACACAAACAAAGAACAAACAAAAAACCTACTGAAGTAGAGCTGAAATGATAATAGATAAATAACTATCCAAAACTAAAAAAAGAACCACAATAATAATTAATATAAATACTGAAAAATGTAAAAAAGTAATTGAAAAGCAGGAAAGTGCTCCTGTGGAGACAACGGTTGAAATGAAATTTGTTATATAAAAAAATTAATTGACGAGTTTAAAAAATTAAACTCAATAAATAACTGTAATATATTAAATCATAAATGACAAGGACTAGAGTATGCAATAAACAACGAAATGAGACTATTTACTATATGCATATATGTAATAATATAAGGCAAAATTGAAATTCGACATCATGTTCCGAAGCAGTACACTTTGGGAGCATAGGGCATGATGAAATGATATTTTCCTTTTTGTATTCTTAAAAGGAAATATCATACACAAGTAATAATTAATATAAGCAAAAGAAGATAAATTTTATTTTATTTCATAAATAAGAATCCAATAATTGACACAACAAAAAATTGACTGAAATAGAACTGAAATGATATTAGATAAATAACTATGCAAAACTCAAAAAAACAACCACAATAATAATTAATATAAATACTGAAAAATTTCAAAAAGTAAATCTAAAGCAGGAAAGTGCTTCTGTGGAGTCAACTGTTGAAATGAAATTTGTTATATAAAAATATTAATTGACGAGTTTAAAAAATTAAACTCAGCAAATAACTGTAATATATTAAATCATAAGACTAGAATATGCAATATAAACAACAAAACAAGACTATTTACTGTATGCCTATATGTAATAATATTAGACAAAAGTGGAAATTGAAATTAAACAACATGGTTATGCTTAAGCTATTTAATGAAAGTTGCAATTATTAACAATCAACCATTTCAAATCAAATTAGTCTCACAGTTGTATCTTAAGTCACTTATTGTTTAATTTTATAATCTATATTTATATAATAGATTTTTTCAGTCACTCCGATACCAAAGGTAAACATCAACTCAAGGAAACCCGACAATTTCTATGTAATTATTACTCTGTGGGCCCGTCGGCCTAGCTAGCCAATATTCAAAAAGGTTCTATTGACTTACATGCCAGTGCATACAAGCATATATAATTTCAATAGTTTCAAATTTTTTTTCACGAATATTATACGACTAATATGACAAATAATATGAATATTCAAAACATGCATATAACATGAGAAGAAGTTGCTACAATTAGCTAGAATAATGAGCAAGAAAGTAAATATTACAAGTATTAAAGTTGTTCAAAACAAGCTAATTCACATGAGAAGCAATTAAAAAACCCTACAATAATTGCATAATAATATAAATAAAACAAAAAAGACGACACTAACAATTTTACAAATTAGATTGATACCTAATAGTTGTCATAAGGATAATGCCCTTAACAACGAATGATATTTTTATCCTCTTATAAATAATAGTTGCTTACTTCGAGAGATGACCAAAACAGAACTTCTAATCTTCTTAAGCTTCACCTAACAACATTGGTAAAAATATGCTTAAAGATCTTACACCCAAAATACATAACAACACATTGGTTATTATTATTATTATTATTATTATATTTTAATTTTAATTTCATTATAGTTTTTGAAAATGTAGGAAGACGTAACTGAAACCCAATTTATTATAAAAGAATTAGTTAAATGAATAAGCAATTTAATATATATGTATACATATGTATACATATGTACATATGTATACATATGTACATATGTATACATATGTACATATGTATACATATGTACATATGTATACATATGTACATATGTATACATATGTATACATATGTACATATGTATACATATGTACATATGTATACATATGTACATATGTATACATATGTACATATGTATCTCCAAGAAGAATAACAATTTCATTAATGGGAGATAAGTAAGAAGAATGGGGCTTATAGTGAGCTTGGTCGATCAGGGAAGGAGGATAAAAAATTGTCAATTGGAAAAGAAGACAAAGTGGCTTTAGAAGGTAAGAGAATTTGGTCCTTTGCCTTAAGTTGTCAAAAAGAGTGGGGTTTGAGAGAGAAGGAAAACTTTGATGGTTGTGGAGGGGAGACTCACCGGTTGTGGCAGGAGAGGGTTGCAAGTACTTGGATGGAGCAAATGTATGTTGTGTGATACAGAAAGACGATGAGCAAAGGGGGAAAGAGAATGGCGATATTAGCAAAATCTTGAAGGTATGGAGGCGGTAGCATTGATAAAAATTGCATGATTTGCGAGCAAACTGAGGTGTGAAGGTGGTGCAGGTCGAGAGGGGGAGAAGAAGTAAATTTTCGGATCTTACCCTATTTGTAATTGATCTAATGCCGATTTATTTATATATGATCTTCTACCGTAGGACGCAATAGAGAAAAAGGATTTATGTAGCTGATCCCACTGAGTGGGATAAAGGCTTGTTTGTTGTTGTATGATCTTGTACTGTACTTTAAATTAATAAAATATTTGGGCATGTTTCTTTCTTTTTTTGTTTTTAAGAAAAACCTATTACGGCTGAGCATGGACAAATCTTTTTGGCTTATAACTATTCTTGTTGCTATTTCTAGCTATTTTTATGGTTATGTTTTTTCACTTTCACAATTATGTTTGAATTGATTTATAGAGATAGTTGTGATTTATGATGGTGCTCTTTGCTGTGGAATGCAAATATGTTTTTGGTTTTTTCATGATATTTATGCAATTTATCTTGTTTACCTTTTGTATAGTTATCACATTGCTGGAACTAAAGCTGTGTTTTATGCACGTGAACCCTACTTCAATGATGGTGCTGTACATGTTACTCGTTTTATCGGTCTAGCTTCTGTAGGGAACAAAGAGAAACTGGTATTACTTTGTGAACCCCATACCTTTCTGTTTCTGCCCTTCTTTGCTTTTGATTATCAATTTACTATTGAGTTTGCTTACAAACCTATAAATTCAACTTTATGAATTCATTACCAAAACTTACTTTGTTAATTACATTTCTGGTGTTTTCTTTTTTGTGATGATTCTGAAATCCTTGAAGTGCTTTGCATAAACGCCCTTTTTTAGTTTACTCATTGTGGAAGTGAACGTTCATGTTCAGGTGTTTGTGGAAACTAGCCATGGATTTGGCATTCAAAAGGAGAAGTGTTTGAAGGGAGAGGAATTTGTGATGGTTGTCCCCATGCATTTACGCACTTGCGTCAAATCATTTCTAAGACACTTTATTAGTGATCATCTCAAGGCTTGCACATTATTTTTGAGTCTAAAAGCCTGTCTTTTATTTTTAGGAAGATTTACATACATACAACACAATTCTTATGTGTTTACATGTCCAACTCCGGAACTTCAATTTTTACATATATGCCACCTTATCTATGCATTAAAAGGTGTCTTTCACATTTTAATGGTTAAAATGGTGGTATTTTTTATGTGATATGAGAATCTTTGATGGTATAAATGTAAAAAGCAAAGTTTAGATGTTGTATATGTAAATATTAAATACATAGGAATTGGGTGGTATGTATATTAGTTTAGCCTATTTAGGTTGTATTGCTGTGTCAATTGACAATTATAATTATGTAAACCCATCATCCAAGCGTTACTTGTCCCAGTTTTCCATCTTTTGGTCATCCAATTCTTGGTTTTAGGTTAGTTTACTAAACTAGCTAAAAGAGTTGTTTCATTATTAAGGTTAAATATGCCGGATTGGTCTTCAATGAAATTGGCGCCATGCCACTTCCCATGAGGCAGCTAAAATGATTTATTACTATTTATGTAAATATTTGCATATATTTTACCATCCAATTTATCTGCGCCACTTAAAATGTTTTATTTAAAATACAAATTCAACTTTTTTAGTTAAAAAAATGATATTTTAACAAAATAAAGTAAATTTATTAAAAAATAATTCATTTATTTTGATTATCCAAGATAGATTTGATAAGCCAAATAACTTTTGCTTAATTGAATTTTTCTACATGTCATCAAATTACTACCTAAAATACAGTATCTTCGTATTGTAACTAAGATATTCTACGTGATATTAAATTCCTATTTGGTTAATGCATCAGAATTTTATTTTTAGCCCAAAGTCAAATGATATATAAGCCAATTTAATTGACATATTAGTTAAGTGACGCGTCAATCATGCATGCATAGACTTTACTTGGACTTATGGTGACATTAATAATAAGCTCAAAGTGGTTTTGAAAAGAGCTATTCTGCTAATAATTATAAGATGCCATTCCAGCTATCACGGTGGTGGAATGATTTGGCTCTATTGATAGCGTAGGTTTATTTGGATAATAATGATTTAATCATCTGCATTGTTATTTTTCAATGGAACAGAGAATGGTATATTATTTAGGCAGGAATGTAAATTACTCCGTTTGTTTGGTTATGTTTGGTGGAGTCTTAGTTAGAGTTTTTTAAGCCACCCATTCCTTGTCCTATGGATAAACAAGGTGAAGATAGGAACAGTTTGAAGGGATGAAGAAGAAAGCAAGAACTTGTGGCATTAAAGAAAGCCTTTATGGGATCAGGTTGGATTCTTGAATAGCCTTTAATTGTCTAGCGCAAGGATCATCATTTTTTAGTTTTATCCCAACTCTTTAGCGTAATCTTAACGATTCCTAAGCCATTAATTCTCTTAAAATGTTCCATTTTTTTTTAACTCATAATTAGTGTGTCCCACTTCATTTTTTACCTTCACTTGAATGTAAACTCTATTTTGAAAAATTCTTGTGGGTGTTATTGTTTACCGGTGAACATGATTTATTGCTTATTTTTTTGTTTAAAACAAAGTTCTGATCAACTTGTGAACATATTTTGCATCACATGACTCGTGGTATGTTACACATTCTTTCCAGAAATTTATTCATGCAATTTCTCCTACTCCAGCATCTACAATGCCGGCTTCAGAAGTCTGTTTAAAACCACCAAATGCAACAGTATCTCCATATACTTTGGAAGGCGCTATCAATCATACAAAAGAACACACTAAAAGGCCCGCTAATAGTGATTCTGTTGATCAATACTGGCGGTACGATGTTTCAAAAAAGAGGCCGAGGAATGGAGTTGCTGGGGAAAGATTGTGCTTCAAATATATTTCTTCTGGAGCTTGTGCCCAAGGGAAAAAGTGTAGTTATCGACACGATGAAGAAGCCAGGGGACAATATCTTAAAAATGTTTGTTTTGATTTTCTTAACAAAGGAAAATGTGAGCGTGGTCCGGATTGCAGATTTAGGCATAATTTGATAGAGGAAGGAGATACGCTCATCGTAGAAGGGCAGGGTTGTCAAAATGGAAAATCTTATAGGTATGTATGGCATTGTGGCGCTTATATTTTCTTCTTTGCTTGCATTGTTTTTTCTTTTCTTTGTTGGGGTTGGGATTTTTTTTATCTACCATTTGAAATTGATTATTTTCAATAGTAACATCCAGTTGCTTCCATTTATAATAATAACTTTTAATTATGGAAGAGCGCAGCAAAACTTAATCCACATATTTTTTTTGCTTTCCTTGAATTCTTAATGATTTGCTTATGATATGCTCAAATAAGTCGAACTTACTTGGTTAATTTTCCTTTTTTAGTATTTTTTTTATTTTTTTCACATTGAACTTAAAATGTTGCTAGAGCGACAGGATTTTCTTGCAAAATGTTGGTTGATGCAATGCAAAAGTTATAAAATCGAATTTGAAGGGTTACTCATACAATTTTTATTTGATGCATTTTCTTATGTAGCATGGAAAATTTAATGGTTTTGAAAGCTAACATCTAACTTCTTCGACTTGTATTGATACCGCCCAAATTTTGTGGAGCACAATAAAAAGATAATATATATATATATATATATATATATATATGCTTTCATTAATTTCACAGTGATTTAATTATGACTTATGCAAATATGTGGTTTTGTTATTTTATGACATACATTTTTTTGTACTTTAGGTGTTAGTTTTGTAAATATCTAAGTGTTGGGCATTACACATGTAATTTTTCTTTTTTAGGAAATTTTTCATGTTAAGCTTAAATTGATGGTAGGACATATCAGAAGTATCTAGCAAAAGGCTGGCTGATGCTATGTAAATGGTATAAAATCCAATTTGAAGGGAAAGCCATATAGCCATATAGCTGTTCTCCTGCTGTGCATTTACATACATGCCACACAATTCTTATGTATTTACCCATCTAACACATAAACTTTCTTATTTACATGCTTACCAACCAAATCTCTAACATCACATCAAAAATACTATCATCACTACCTTTTTAAAAGTGAAATAGACCTTTTCTTTCATTAATAGATTTATGACGAATAGGTGTTGTAAGTGTAAATATCAAACTTAGGTGTTAGATATGTAAATACATAAGGATTGTGTGGTATGTAAATAAATTTCCCTTAATTGTCTCGGTTGGCAAGGGCCTTCGAAATTGTTGCCAAGTTCGTGGGTTCGATCCTCTCTTGCTAATGAACTCCTTGTTTGTGGACTGCTAAAAAAAAAAACTCTTCTGTTGTCCTGACTCCATAATTTTTAATGACAGGAGGATCCCAGAGAAAAAGTGTTGGTTCTGCTTGTCAAGCCCTGATGCTGAGGTCCATCTTGTGCTTAGCATCGGGGAAAGTTACTACTGTGCACTAGCCAAAGGTCCCCTTGTTCAAGATCATGTGCTGTTGATACCGATTGAGCACCACCCTAATACTTTAACAACATCGCCGGAGTCGGAGGTAGAACTTGGAAATTATAAAAATGCCCTCAAAGTTTATTTCAAGAACCAGGAAAAAGCAGTTGTGTTCTTTGAGTGGATTTTTCAAAATAGCCCTCACGCTAATCTTCAGGTACGGGATTCTTTTTTAAGTTATTTTGATGGAAATAGTTTTGTAGAATATCTACATCATGCTTTTGATTGTATAGTTTCGGATATGAATGCAATAGATCCAGGGCAACATATTTTATTATAGGAAGCTTTACATACATGCCACTCAATTCTCATGTATTTGCATATCTAACACATCAACTTCAATTTTTACATATATGCCACCTTACATATGCATGGAAGGTGTATTTCACTTTTTAAAAGTTAAATATGTGGTGTTTTTTTATGTGATATGAAAATTTTGGGTGGCATAAATGTAAAAATTAAACTTTAAATGTTAAATATCTAACTGCATAGGAATTGGGTGGTATGTATGTAAATGCCCCTACTATTAATGCGAACAGTCGTCTTACCTTCCTTTTCTGCCCACGCCTATTTTGTTTTGATTGTTATCTGTCAACTCATAAGTAAGAAATAGATGATTGGGATTTAGTTTTCGTTCTGTTGAAAATGGGGAATATTTAGGCAAGTTTGTTTTAAAAATTTTGGGATAAATCATCAAGAAATGCTATCTTGGGTTTTCATGACTCAGACCACCCACCCTTTTCTGGAAAGTGTTTATTACATATATACCACCCAATTCCTAGGTATTTACATGTCTAACCTAAATTTTTACGAAAACCATATCTCTCATCTACACCATGTTTTCTTCGAAATATGAAAAATGAGGGATATTATATGGATCACAAGCAAGGGGAGAAATACTTCTAGCTTGGCATTAGGTTGTGTGTATTTACATAGAATACAAAACTTATGGTAGCGCGGAGAGGTTAAAGGCTAGACTTGTTGCAAAAGGATTTATTTAAATTTTTGCTATTGATTACCAACAAACATTTGCTCCGGTTGGTTCCTTTTTTCCATAGCCTTAACCACGAAACATAATTTGCTTCTATATCTATCGAATGTAAATAAAGTCTTTCTAAATGGAGATTTAGAGGAAGAAGTCTTTATTAGCCTACCTCGTAGGTTTGAGAAGAATCTTAGTGATTATAAATTTTATAATTTAAACAAATCTTTATACAGCCTTAAGCAATTCTCAATTGCATGGTTTGAATGCTTTAGGAAAGCATAAAGAACCATGCATATTGTAGGTTGATAATACTATTTTGTACAAATTAAAAAAAGGGTAACAAATTGACTATTTTTGTTGATGATAGTGACGAATTACAATATTTGAAGGAAGGCATTACTATGAACTCAAGATAAAAGAGTTGGGAATATTAAAATTTTGGGGCTTTTACATACATAGCACCCAATACTTTCATATTTACCTATCTCACATAAAAACTTTCATAATTGAAAACATCATATTTTAAAGTAGTACTCATTATCACATTTTAATAGTCAAATCTGTCTTTTCATCCATAGCTATTAGCTAAAGTTCTAGGTGTGAAAATGAAACTTTGGGTAAAGTTGAAACAACTCTATCAAAGAAAAAACTAGAAAAGGCTAATCATCTCGCCTTACATACCTTCTACTAAACAAGTCACAAATCCTCTTAGTCGGACTATAGAAGAAGCAATTTGACTATTTATTAAACAAGCTGACTATGGAGGATATTTTCTAAGTCAGCATAAGGTGTGTTGAAAACAACATAGTTAAAAAGCTTTGATTTTTTAAATATGGTAGAAACCTTCCATGACTGTTGTTCTGAGTTTCCATAAATTAGGCTAACCCTTCCTTTTATTGAATGTGTTTATTGCACAGATTAATTCTTCTCAAGCCGATTTATGTTTTATTTGTTTATCTTGTTTTTAAGATGCTACGGTTTAATAAATTAGGCTAACTCTCTGCAAAGAAATTGATAGTTTTATTTGATTGATCTGATTGATAGCTTAGTTGAGTGTGATATACATTGTTATTTTATTTGCAACATTTAATTTAAGTTTTTGGTAAACTGATTAAGTTGAATAATTCTTATTTTATTTGAATTAAATTTAGCTTCTTTTATTTCTCAAATTATTTCATTTATCTTGCTTACATTTAAAGGTCTTTTATAAACAAAAGAAGATTAATGAAGATGATGACACTTTATGATCTTAATGATATGACTGTTTTATGATCTCCAATTATTGTCTTTTGCACCATGTTAAATGAAAAATTATATGGATTTAATTGTTGAAGGAAATAAATATAAGTTGAATGAAGATGTCACTCCCTTTTAATACTAATAAGGGACGCTATTGTACTCGTACACGTTAAAAACAAAAAGAAAATAATTGTGCCATTTTTGTACAAAATGAAAAATAAATGAAAATAATTGTGCTTTTATAATACAAAATGGAAAAAGCTTTAACGATGTTCTTAATATGACTTTTAAAAGTAAAAACGAAACAAAAAAAATATTATTGATGATATGAAAATGAAAATAGAATTGATAAGATGATTAAATAAAAGTTTTATAAAATGAAAATAATAATTTACTTTTTGCTCGACATATTCCTTTGAGCAATCTATTAGGCAATTGCATATAAATATTTAATGAATAATAAAGTAGGAATTATGCAACAAGTTGCTTAAACTTAATCTATTGCTTAACTATCATTTTTAGGAAAATGTTTACTTGATTGATATGATTGATATAAGAGAATTTGTTTATAGCAGGATAGATAGTGTTGTTGATGGGTAACAACTTGTTAGTTTTTATGTTTTTACCACTTCTCTTATATTATTTATGTTACCGTATTGTTGGATGATCTTCTGCATTTGTTAGAGAATTGTTTTCATGTGTATTGTGGATTAGTGTTTTTTTTCTAGTAGAATGTTATTTTGGACTAATGTTAATGTTTAAATGTATATTTCACATTCCGATTGCTCGTTCTCGCCTTAGTTAATTTTATGCTCTAGTTGGGTCATGATTAGGTTTGTCAAAAAACTCATTGTTTGTGAATAGGTCGTGTTCGACTTGTTAAGTAGTTTGAGTTTGAATTGTTCGTCAAGTGAGCCGAACACGAAAAAATTTTTTGAACTAAAATTATATATGAATTGAAAACGGATAACACTTTGCTCGATCGTGTTCAAGCTCGTTTTAGCTTGAAATAACAAAATTATATATATATATATTAATAATATCTTCTATCGATTTATATCTAAGTTTAAATTATCACAACTTGTGTGGTCATGTGTTTTTGCAATTTTTATTGCATATGAATGGTATAGGTTCGAATCCAACACCCAACATTTTTTTTTCTAATTAATTTAACCTAGTCAATTTCGGGCCGAATATAAACAATATGTAAATTTAGCCGAACAAGAGCTAAACTTGAGCTCATTCGAGTTCTGCTAGTTTACAAACCCAGTCGTGCAAAGTATGAATGTCAAACTTTGGCTGTTAGGTGTGTGAATGTATAAAAGTGGCGTGGTATGTATGTAAATATCCCTTGAATGTTAGCATGAGATCTTTATTCAGATGAACTAATGTTCCTGCTGCTCCACTTTTTCTAATCTTGAATCTCTTCATTCTCCTCGGTCTTATTTGGTATAAATGAACATATTTTTGGGCTATGCCCAATAAAAGATACCTTCTTTATACTTACGTTTTGGCTTAAATAACAGTCCCATAATCTTACACATGTTTCAGGTTGTACCAATTCCCTTCTCCAAAGCATCTAACGTGCAGCGGATATTTAATTTCGCCGCCAAGAGATTAGGATTTGAATTTTCAGTCACAGCTCCAGGTACGAATTTTATAGCAGACATGTTGATAGCTTATTTGCATCTTTCTATTCCTTAAAAGTTTTAAGCATTTAAGACATGTCATCCATTTTGGATGCTGGAGGGCTAATCTCCAAATCACAAAATCTGTTTCTTTTACACTTATTTATACTAAGATTTACATTCACACCACTCAATTTCTATGGATTTTACATATCTAAAAATTTCAATTTATGTGACGTGAAAGATTTGGGCGGTATAAATGTAAAAGATAAAGTTTAGATGCTAGATAAATAAAGCATGGGAATTGAGTGGTATGTATGTAAATGCCACTTACAAGTTATGATCCTTTTACAGGTGGGGACAATGGTGAAGGTAGAATTTCTTTGAGATCCGTGTTTGATGGGAAATCAAATTTATTTTACGTGGAACTCCCAAATGGGACTATACTTTCACATTCTGTTGATGATAAGGAGAAGCTACCTGTTCAATTTGGCCGCGAGGTAGGTATCGTGTGATTATTTTCTTCTTATTTTATTCCCATTATAGTTATTATCATTTGATTGTTTATGTGAAAATTGCTTTCATCTTATTAAATTATTGATTTTTCAGAGCACTTTGAGGAATTGATGAGTAGTATTGTATTTACTTATCTAACACCTAAACTTAAATTTTTGCATATATATGCCACCTTACCTGTTCATGAGAAAGGTGTATTTTACTTTATGTGACATGAAAGATTTGGTGGTATAAATGTTAAAAATAAAGTTTCAAGTGTTAGATATGTAAAATACGTAAGAATTGACATTGTCTGTTACTTCATTAATTTCTAAACCACTAGCTTTTATTTTTTTAGAGGCATTTACATGTATGCTAAACAAGTCATATATATTTACTAATGTAACACCTAAACATCCATATGAGGATGCATACCCCTCAAAATCTTTGACATCACATCAAAAACACCATCATTACTAATCTTTTTAATAGTGAAATGCAATGAGTTTATGACATGGAGGGAGGGGTTATAAGTGTAAATATCAAACTTTGACTGGAACTGTTGTAGTTTTGCCAGATTGAATATTTCCTTTAAGCATCTTTTTGTTATGTCTTTTCTTTATGGATTCTAACAGCTTATGAATGGACAAAATTTGGTTATATTATCCTAATCTCTCTCTCTCTCTCTCTCGTATATGCTTTGAAAAGCGTGCAATATATGAGTAATCAATTACAGTGTATATCTTGACCCAATTCTTATTTATTTACATATCTAACACCTAAACTTCAACTTTTACATATATGCAATGTGCGCGCGCACGCAAAATAAATGAAGTTTAGGGGTTAGATATGTAAATGCATAGGAACTGGCAGGCCTCTTAAATAATAATTATGTATGTGAATGCCTTTAATAATAATTATTTTCAAAATGCTTCTTAGGTATTAGCAGGCCTCTTAAACATGGCAGATAAAGCAGATTGGAGGAACTGTAAGCTGAGCAAAGACGAAGAGCTGCAGATGGTGCAAAATTTCAAGACAGGTTTTGAGGAATTTGATCCTGCTGCTTGATATATATATATATATATATATATATATATTCTATATATACTTTTGTGTGTGTT